TATCCCCAATAAAAAGCAGTGGTGCCATAAATATACTTAGAGAAAATACGTAAGTGTCCAGAGGTAATTAAACAAAAACAAACAATTTCTGATCTGTGCTTACTGAGACAGAGGAGTGAAGTTGACCCTCAATGACCGGGTGGCAGCAACATCGGTGACTTCCGTAAGGTTGCATTCTTTTATTTTACGTTTTTGTCACTTTTTTCTTTTCTATTTTTTTTTCCAGTAACGTTTGTGAGACCAATATAATGCATAATGTGTATATGTACACTCATTGTATTAAACACTATAACTGTATTAATATTTTCATCATTTTGTTTAAAAAACTTGTTTACAACAAAAATGTTGTATATTAGTAATGTTCTATTATATATTTACATATTTACAGTAGCTAGACAAATTCCTAGAATTGCTGCAGTCTGTGGAAGTCTTTGAAACAAGCTGTCATGCACAGTGGTGCCTTACATTCCTCACACATAAACCCAGTGTCTAAGTTTTTGTGGCCATCATTTTGTTTGTGCACAGACAACACATCTCTTCTGAGCCCATTTCTTCTTAGTTGATGGAAGCTGTATTAGGAAGTGATTACCTTCCCGCCTCAAACGACTGGGTACAGAGTGCATAATGAGAAAAAGAAAATTCCAACTGTGTTTTTGGTTTAAAACAGCGAGTTTGCAGTGTATTTTCGTATGCTATTTATTGTTGTATTCTATAGTTTTCCTGGTCTCATTTCATAGAATGGAAGACATATTATGGAAACTGAGATGATTCTGATTGGTTTCACAATGAAAAGTACCTTGAAATTGAGCTCAAAGTAGCATCACAGTTCGTGGACGGTTTTGTATAGCAAGTGTTGTTACCTAGTACTTGATTATTAGTTGTCTGATGACAGATAAACAAAATTCACCATACGGTGGTCTGTTGCTGGTCTTCATTTGGTACATATTATACGCACTGAGCATTGAAATGTGCATGAGATGAAAAAAAATTTCGTGTACCACTTGTAACTCTTACGAACACAATTGGCAAAGCCAATCTGCATGTCACACTTGCCAACCAAACGCATGTTTTGTGTGTAGTCAATCACTGTTGCTGGTTTTAGAGTAGGTTCATTCATCACTCTATCCACCGTGCCACTGTCTTTCAATTTGTTATAATGAATAAATAAATAAATAAAGTTTATTTCTTTATAAAGGTTACAATGTGTAATTACAATTTTGATTTGCTAAGTACAGTGGACCCCCGCATAGCGACTTTAATCTGTGCAAGAGGGCTCATTGTTATGCAAAATGATCGGTATGCGAATGAATTTTCCCCATAAGAAATAATGGAAATCAAATTAATCCGTGCAAGACACCCAAAAGTATGAAAAAAAAAAAATTTTACCACATGAAATGTTAATTTCAATACACACAAACTGAAAAAGGCATGCACAATTACATGACACTTACTTTTATTGAAGATCTGGTGATGATTGATGGGATGGGAGGAGGGGAGAGAGAGTGTTAGTGTTTAGAAGGGGAATCCCCTTCCATTAAGACTTGAGGTGTCGAGTCCTTTTCTGGGGTTACTTCCCTTCTTCTTTTAATGCCACTAGGACCAGCTTCAGAGTCACTGGACTTCTTTCGCACAACATATCTGTCCATAGTGGCCTGTACCTCTCGTTCCTTTATGACTTCCCTAAAGTGTTTTTCACAACATTGTCAGTGTACAGGTTGCCAACACGGCTTGCAATAGCTGTGTGAGGGTGATTTTCATCCATGAAGGTTTGCACTTCAAGCCACTTTGCACAGATTTCCTTAATCTTTGTAGTAGGCAACTTCTTCAATTTCTCTCTCCCCTCCTCTGAACCAGTTTTCCTCAGGTCTGGCCTCTTGCTGTTGAAGTTGATCTATCAGCTCATCAGTGGTTAGTTCTTCATTGTCCTCCTCCACCAACTCTTCCACATCCTCCCCACTAACCTCCAACCCCAAGGACTTTCCCAATGCCACAATGGATTCCTCAACTGGCATAATCCTCTCAGGGTTAGCCTCAAACCCTTCAAAATCCCTTTTGTCTACACATTCTGGCCACAGTTTCTTCCAAGCAGAGTTCAAGGTCTTCTTAGTCACTCCCTCCCAAGCCTTACCTATAAGGTTTACACAATTGAGGATATTAAAGTGCTCTCTCCAAAACTCTCATAGAGTCAGTTGAGTTTCTGAGGTCACTACAAAGCACCTTTCAAACAGAGCTTTTGTGTACAGTTTTTTGAAGTTTGCAATAACCTGCTGGTCCATGGGCTGCAGGAGAGGAGTGTATTAGGAGGCAAAAACTTCACCTTAATGAATTTCATGTCCCCATAAAGTCGCTCTGCCACGTCTGTAGGATGACCAGGGGCATTGTCTAACACCAGGAGGCACTTAAGTTCTAATTTCTTTTCAGTTAGGTAATCTTCACATTGGGGCAAATGCATGGTGTAACCAGTCATAGAAAAAGTCCCTAGTGACCCATGCCTTACTGTCTGCCCTCCACAGCACACACAAATTCTCCTTGAGGACATTCTTTTGCCTGAACGGTCTGGGAGTTTCAGAGTGATATACTAATAAAGGCTTCACTCTGCAATCACCAGTAGCATTGGAACACATCAACAAAGTAAGCCTGTCTTTCATAGGCTTATGTCCTGGGAGTGCCTTTTCCTCCTGAGTAATGTAGGTCCTACTTGGCATTTTCTTCCAAAACAGGCCTGTTTCGTCACAATTAAACATTTGTTCAGGTTTCAGTCCTTCACTGTCTATGTACTCCTTGAATTCCTGCACATATTTTTCAGCTGCTTTGTGGTCCGAACTGGCAGCCTCACCATGCCTTATCACACTATGTATGCCACTACGCTTCTTAAATCTTTCAAACCAACCTTTGCTGGCCTTAAATTCACTCACATCATCACTAGTTGCAGGCATTTTTCTAATTAAATCCTCATGCAACTTCCTAGCCTTTTTGCTTATGATCGCTTGAGAAACGCTATCTCCTGCTAGCTGTTTTTCATTTATCCACACCAATAAGAGTCTCTCAACATCTTCCATCACTTGCGATCTCTGTTTCGAAAACACAGTTAAACCTTTGGCAAGAACAGCTTCCTTGATTGCCTTTCTGTTGCCCACAATAGTAGCGATGGTTGATTTGGGTTTCTTGTACAACCTGGCCAGGTCGGCGACACGCACTCCACTTTCATACTTATCAATGATCTCTTTCTTCATCTCTATAGTAATTCTCACCCTTATTGCTGTAGGGTTGGCACCAGAAGCTTTCTTGGGGCCCATGGTCACTTATTTTGCAGATAAAATCACCAAAAACACTGTAATAATACGAAATGTTCCGATTGTATGCTTGGATGTTACCGCGGAGGCTGGCTGGTAAACAATGCCACCGGCGGCACATGTGAGGCTGGCTAAGGGCGCACATTGGACGCGTCTCGGACGAAGAGCGGTGAGCAGGTTTTTGAGCGGTATGCGAGGCAAAATTTTTGCGATAAAAGCGAGCGTAAAGCGGATTGAACGTTATGTGATGCCGACAGTATGTGGGGGTCCACTGTACAAAAATAGCCACTATCATGCCGAGGCATTTCGGGTAAACTAATCCTAATACAGTGGACCTCCACCTAATGATATTAGTCCGTTCCTGAGAGCTCATCATAAGCCAAAATTATCGTTAGCTGAATTAATTTTCCCCACAAGAAATAATGGACATCAAATTAATCCGTTCCTGACACCCTAAAGTATGAAAAAAAAAATTTTACCACATGAAATATTAAATTAAATACACACAAACTGAAGAAGACATGCACAATTACTACTCTACTAAGAATAGAATACATGACACTTACCTTTATTGAAGATCTGGTGATGATTGATGGGATGGGAGGAGAGGAGAGTGTGGAAGTTATTGTTTAGAAGGGGAATCCCCTTCCATTAGGACTTGAGGTAGCAAGTCCTTTTTTGGGGTTACTCCCCTTTTTCTATTAATGCCACTAGGACCAGCTTGAGAGTCACTGGACCTCTGTCGCACAACAAATCTGTCCATAGAGCTCTGTACCTCCCATTCCTTTAAGACTTTCCTAAATGGGCCATAACATTGTCTTGTACAGGTTGCCAACACGGCTTGCAGTAGCTGTGTCAGGGTGATTTTCATCCGTGAAGGTTTGCAGTTCAACCCACTTTGCACATATTTCCTTAATCTCTTTTTTCAATTCCATACTAATTCTTGCCCTTTTTACCACAGGGATGGCACTAGAAGTTTTCTTGGGGTCCATGGTGACTTATTTTGCAGTTAAAAGCACTAAAAACACTGGGATAATGTGAAATGTACCGAATATATATGTAGATGCGACCACACTGGCTGGCTTGTAAACACTGGCACTGAAGCCACACGTGGGATGCATCCCGGACGAATCACAAAAGGCGAGTTTTTTATCGTGAGGCGAGGCAAAATTTTTGAGTTCAAATGCTTCGTATGGCAGATTTAATGTAATGCGATGCGTTTGTAAGGCGGGGGTCCACTGTACATAGTAACTAATTGAAACTAGATAAGATAATAGTACATAATAGCTATACTTAAAACTAAACAAGGAATAGTGGTTAGCTGTTTTACAATCTTATTTGAATTTAATAAATCTTATTTAAACTTATTACAAAATCTAACTTACAAGTAATGGTGCAGGTGGTAATATTTTATGGAATGGCAGAATTAAAAGCCAGGAGGTCACATGATAAAACTAGTTAGCAGATGTTTGGTTGATTTGGTTAATATTGTGAGATAAGATGATTTTTTTTAGGAAAGTCATGCCATGTCATTGGCAGCAAACACCTGCACCTCACCACTATGAATGCCTGTGTTGAACCTGGGCATATGTTTATGAATATAACACACTGTGCCACACACGTCTGTCATGTTCGCTTGCAAGAAATCACTGGGGAAATGTTATTTTAGTACCAGTTATTAGTATATAATGCATATATGCCCCTTACCAAGATATGGTGCCATCATTGTTCTCACTGTCACCCGAGATACCCAATAACATCTCGGTATCTTCCAGTGTTTCACTTCTTGTTCCTATAATTATGTCCAATACCAGGCCATTGTCACAGTCACAGAGTACAAACAGTTTACACCAAAGCGTTTCCTCTTGCTCGGTATATACAGCTTGAACGACAGTCTACCTTCGAACAAAATCAAAGACTCAACAATTACAAGATTTTTAAATGGATAAAAGCACATGTTGGACTTTTATTTCAGATATATAAAAACATTTCTAATCTTGTATGACCTGTCATTTCTGTCAGGTTTTGTCAGAGAAGTCCAACATACATAACAGTAAGATAAATCTGTTCACTGTGATATCAGCGAAGGTCAGGGTAGAAATTACTGCATCTATAGACCAGTATGATTTTATATTATGCTTACAGACATGAGGCATAAGCATTATTGTTGCAAAAAACAAATACATTTCAGCCACAGTTGTCTCCTTCCACCAGTGTAGTCTTGACTGTGGTGGTATCACTATTTGCCGTGGTGTACTCAAAATACTTGCTACTTTCCCTGACAATATTTTCCATCAAGGGCTGGTCAAAGAGTAGTTCAAAGAATTGCAGTTCACTTGCAGTGTTTCCAAGGGAACAAGATTGCAAGAATCCATTTTGAGTGTCATCAAACTGATGGGGACTGGGAACAAAATTGGAATTTTGCTGCCAATCCCAGATGTGGTTTGCTGGTGGGTACTGGACATCAAAAGCTGGTTGTGGTTGTGGTTGTAGTTGTGGTTGTGCAGGCTGTGGTGTGGGGCTGGATGATGATGATGCGCTTTGTCCTGGACTGGGCTGGTGCCACATGCTGCATGCCCGTGGCACCACCACCACCTACTGACACATGTGGTCTATCAATCCCAATCGTAGCCACATCATCATCACTTTCATTGTCTATTCCAGGTGGAGGGCCAAGGAATGTACACCTACCATCCGACTTACGACCTGCTCGACTTACGACGACTCGACTTATGACCGTGCTTTTTATGCCAAATTTCTGGGAAATAAACAAGTGCTTGTGTTGTACACAGTATTTATCCTAAACCTTACAGTATAAAATACAGTACTAACAGCATAAAAAGTAAAGTAAAACATGAAATACCAAAATAAAACAATAAAATAAAGTCATTACAAAAATGTTATGTTGATATTCAGTAGTAAAGTTCGACTTACGACTATTTCGACTTACGACCGGTTTCTTGGAACCAAACTCGGTCGTAAGTCGGATGGTAGGTGTATTCCAGGGTGTATTCCGCCCCCTTGGAATTGCATATGGTACAGTACCCGAGTGTATACAGCATCATATCAACTGACGTTTCACTGGTGAATATGATTCATCACTATCACTACTCGAATGGTCATCAAGAGCAATAAAATCAAAGTCTACATCACTACATCACCGTTGCTTAAATCTGAGGCTTGGCCATGCAAAAATATTAGTTTTCTCTTGGGACGAGGTACAACTGAATGTGACAGAGATGCACCAGCACCAGAGGTGGAAGGTTGAGGGTCATCAGGATTTTTGGCACTACAGTAGACCCCCGGTTTGCGATGGCATCGGTATCCGATAAATCTGATATTTGATACATTTTAAGGCAAAAATTTTGCCTTGGTTCCCATTAAGAAACCTGGTATATGCGATTTGTCTGAAATGTGTCCATGTGTGGCCTGAACTGCCCCGTGTGTGCCAGTGTTTACAAGCCAGCCAGTGTGCTCGCATCTAAGGATACATTCGGTACATTCCATATTATCACAGTGTTTTCGGTGCTTGTTTCTGCAAAATAAGTCACCATGGGCCCCAAGAAAGCTTCTAGTGCCAACCCTTCAAGAAAAAGGGTGCTAATTACTATTGAAATGAAGAAAGAGATAATTCCAAAGTACGAAAGTGGAGTGCGTGTGTCGGAGCTGGCCAGGTTGTATACAAAACCCCAATCAACCATCGCTACTATAGTGACCAGGAAAACGGCAATCAAGGAAGCTGTTGTTGCAAAAGGTGCAACTGTGATTATGAAACAGTGACCGCAAGTGTTAGAAGATGTTGAAAGACTGTTATTGGTGTGGATAAATGAAAAACAGATAGCAGGAGATAGCATCTCTCAAGCAATCATTTGTGAAACAGCTAGGCAGTTGCATAACGATTTGGTAAAGAAATTACCTGCAACTAGTGGTGATGTGAGTGAATTTAAGGCCAGCAAAGGTTAGTTTGAAAGATTTAAGAATCGTAGTTGCATACATCATATGATTAGGCATGGTGAGGCTGCCAGTTCGGACCAAAAAGTCCTAATGGAAGGGGATTTCCCTTCTAAACATTAAGTTCGACACTCTCCCCTCCTCCCATCCCATCAATCATCACCAGATCTTCATTAAAGGTAAGTGTCAATTATTCTATTGTTAGCAGAGTAGTACAAACTGTGCATATCTTCTTCAGTTTGTGTGCATTAAACTTAATATTTCATGTAGTAAAATTTTTTTTTCATACTTTTGGGTGTCTTGCACGGATTAATTTGATTTCCATTATTTCTTATGAGGAAAATTGATTCGCTTTTCGATAATTTTGGTTTACGATGAACTCTCAGGAATGGATTAATATCACAAACCGGGGGTCCACTGTGTTTTTGATATCATAAGCATTACTTTCAGTCACAAATTGTTCAAAACCATAAAATTCCTGTTCATATCCACTTCCATCGGTGTTAGAACTATCACTTGGGAAGAGGAGAGTCCCATTTCGCCGGGGAGTGAGAGCTTCCTTGCTACGAGGCATAATGAACAAAGCATATTGAGATGGCATTCCCGCAATGCTATGCAGGTATCCCAATTTTTTGTTTACTGCACACACTGACCATGCCTTCCAGCCTTCTCATGCTAAATTTGAAGCGGCTAGAATTATGGCGTAGTTCTACGGCCTGGACCCTAGCTTCAAAGCCGCAAAGAAGGTCAGTGTGTCATCGAGGACTGTCTTATTTCCATTGGGGTTCTTCAATCTTGTCCCCCAGGATGCGATCCACACCAGTCGACTAACAACCAGGTATCTACTTACTGCTAGGTGAATAGTGGCAGCAGGTGTGAAGACACCTGCTGCCACCCATAACAGAGACTGAACCACAGAATCTCAGTGTGAAGCAAAAACATTACCAACTTCAGTACTGTAAAGTTTATTAATTTTAGGACTCGTCTAGTCCACACAGATAGCTAGATGCCTACCTTATGCATGAGATCTTTTCCACCCAAGTTTCTACTGTTATTAACCCTTTCAGGGTCCAAGGCCCAAATCTGGAGTCACGCACCAGTGTCCAAGAATTTTCAAAAAAAAAATTTGTTATTTTTTCTTATGAAATCGTAGAGAATCTTTTTGGGAAGGTAATAAAAACAAAAAGTACGAAATTTGGTGGGAAAAATTTACGAAATTATGCTCTCGCGAATTTTGATGTGTCAGCGATATTTACGAATCGGCGATTTTGCCGACTTTGACTCCCATTTTAGGCCAATTACATTATTCCAATCACCAAATTCTTAGCTATTTCACTAGTATTACTTCTATTCTATCGATTGAGCACAAGAAAATCGTCAAGTCAACTGTTTCAACTACAAAATAAAGTGATCGGAAATTGTTAATTTGGCCAATTTAACACAAAGTTCAAAATATTCCAATTTCAAAATAGGGTCCAGAATGAACAATGTAGGCATTCCTGGCACTAAACTAACATTTCCTCTGTTCATTAGTTATGTTTTGAGGCTTTACAAATAAATTCCATTTTGATTTTTTATTCACATAATGAATTTTATTCAACCCAAAAAATAGAAGATTTACTGTTATGCAATATTGTAATAATTGTATAAATATCATCACCACATTTGTGAATGTATATTAGACCCACCAGCTGTCGTGTATTAGACATGTGAGGTCGTTTGTTTACTCTTGAATATCGGCAAAAATTTAACATTTCTGCTACTTTGAGCTCAGTTTCAAGCCATTTCCAATGCTAAAACCAATCAAAATCATCTCTATTTCTGTAATATGTCTTCCATTCTATCAATGCGACCAAGAAATTGCAAATACAACTATAAAAAAACATACGAAAAAACACTGCAAAGTTGCTGTTTTAATCGAAAAATCATGAATTTCATTTTTTTCTCTCATTGAAAAATCATGATTTCATTTTTTTTCTCTCATTATACACAGTGTGCTGCAGGATCTGTTTTTATGTGGTGCACACATACCAACATAGATGTATTCTCTCATATCTAGGCCCAAATGTACCACTCACAGTTTATCAGAGTGAGCTGAGGCTCATGGCGTAGATCTACGGTTGGACCCTGAACGTAAAGCCGTAGATCTTACGGGATGGACCCTGAAAGGGTTAAGCACTGCATGAAATATTTATGACACTTATACCTAACTGTAGCATAGCATCACTATAACCTTGTCTAATACTTTAAATTCAGCACCCATATCCAACACATAAAAAAAAGGGTCCAAAACAGTTGGCATCCTCGCTAAGATTCATTATTATGTACCACAAAGAACACTATTTACATTATACTATTCACTGATCTACCCCTACTTCACTTACATTATTTTTGCCTGGGATCCACAACAGCAAATCACCTTAGCCAATAATCCAACAAAAAGCCGAGTACGAATGATCACACAGTTCACTGCTAGACAACACACCCTCCACTCTTCAAAATCCTAAATCTACTCACTATACAAAACTTTCACTCTACTACTGTGAATACTACATTTACAGAACAATAATTGTGAAGGAGGGGTGTTAATGTTTCACTTTTATAACTGTAGTGTAAGCACACCTGTTGCAACCCCTGAATGGGTTACAGCGATTATTATGTATATATATAAAGTATATTACCTTTTCATATAATTTTATATTGCTTATAAATTTTCGATAATAGCTAAATCACAAATGTATTGCCTTATATTGTTATTTGACGTAGCTTATGTTGTTAGGATCTACATAATATGTGCTCATTCAAGCCTTGATTGTCAAACTACTGTAATTATCGCTTGTCACTCGTTATACTGCCGGCTTCTGAGCTGTGCTTCCACGGGTATTTACGTACGAGGGGGGGGTGTCCCTC